GGGTAACATTTCTGGGCCTGTGCTTTACTTACATCACACTTAGACTCTCAAAATATGGCAAAAGTGGAACTTATACTAATTACTACTTAATTTTTTTTTAAAGTTTTTTAAAAAACATCTGTGACCATAACAGAGCTGGAACAAACACACACACATACAGTAGACTTCCAATAATCCGGCACCTTTGGGACCTAGGTGGTGCTGGTTTATCTGATATGCCGGAGTATCAGGAGATCCCAGTACAGCCGCATGGCTTTTCAAACAGCTAGCCGGGACCCAATCCTCCCCTTCCCTTCCGCTTTTGCTGGAGCAAAACACTCTTCTCCATGCTGTAACCTGATCCCACTCCTCCCCAGCCTTATGCTTGGGTCCAGGTACAGCTAACATATGCACTGAGCGGCCGGCTTTTCAACGGCAATGGCTGGGAGTGCTTGCCATTTTGATGCTGGAGTATCGGGAGTGCCGGACAATTGGGTGCTGGACTATTGGAGTTTTACTATACCATGTTTTGCCTAAGGATTTTGAGTACTCTGTCAATCTATGACAAACACATTTTTCTAATTTCATTATTATTTACGAAAGGGCTGAACACTTTAATTTATATCCTTGAGATTTTAAAGGGCTCCAACATGTAGGCCTATGAATGGTCTTCTGTCTTGAAAATTCAGAAGCTTCCACAGTATTCACTGAAGTATATGTCTAAATAAAATGTATATTTAAATATTCCATGTATTTATTAGGATTAAGAGTGCAACTGGTAAGCCTCTGCTTATTGGCTAATGGCACCAGTTACACTCTTTATAGGGCTACAAAGAGCTCCGGCCACGCTGCTGGACCTAGAGCTGTAGTTAGCCATGTCACTGATAGAAATTCTCTCAGTTACAGGGTTAATTTTTTTGAATTGTTACATCCCTAATATGTATATTAAGTACCCAATGCTCTACACCTCCCATTGGCTACAGTTCACTGTTCCTAGCCAATGGGAGCTGTGGGAAGTGATGTGGGCCAGGAACAGCAAATTGTAGCCACTGGGAGCTGCTTGAGGACTGGTCAACATTAGTAAAGTTACATTATAATTGTTTGATATATTTTTATCCTTGTCAGTTAGACCCCCAGAGAGGTAACAGACATCCATATGGTTCAGTGTGAGGTTTCAGAGATTAAAAGCCAAGAGAGGACTTTTAGCATAAAAGGCTGTGGGGGCTTTTTTCTGAACTAGCAAAGGGAAAGGATCTTCTGTCCAAAGAGTCTCAATGCTTGCAGACTTAGGTCTGTTGGAGTCCTGTTTTTACCTTAAAAGTAAATATACTTGCTTAGCACAAGCTTTTCAGTAATATACAATTTCCAATAACACTCCGTCCATAGTTCTCAAAGTGAGAAAACAAAAGACAGGTGCTGATCTCTGCAGAGACGCTGCAGTGTAAGGTAGGGAAGCTGTGCATCCATAAATAGAGACATCAACGAGTATTTTACTATACCAGTGGTTCCCAACCTTTTTTATACCACGGACAGACTAACCCATTCACAAACTGTTGGTGACTGGTAACATTGTATTTGCATGTTCATTATGGTAATTAATTTTAAAAGCTCCCATGTTATTTTACAATGCATCTGTACGCACCCAATACATGTCACAACAGATCAGAGTTTACAGATCTCTACAACACTCAACAAAATCCAAAGAGAGAATTCTCTTCTGGCTGCTGGCTAGGGCAGCCCCTCCCCTGGGGCAACTGCTGCCAGCAGAGTGAGGAGCACCCATAGAGCAGGGGGCATGTAGGGCACCCTATTTAGCAACTGTAGTTTTGTTGGGGGCACAGGAGCCCTCAAGTCAGCAGGTTGATACAGCCTGCAGAGGCCCTGCTGCTCTCCCACCCCCAGGCCAATTAGGACCTGGGGGTGGGGGAGCTACATGAAGCTTCATTCTCTCTGCTCTGGCTCTGCAAGGAGCTCACGACACTTCAAAGTGCCACGTGTTCCTCACAGGGTGGGAGGAGGCTGCCTGTGTTCTCCTGCCCCCAGGTCCTAATTGGCCTGGGGGTGGTGGAGCATGCCAAGCTTCTTCCAGGGCATCAGGGTGGGAAGGGGAGGGAGTCAAAGAGGCTTCCCCACCTCAGACCAATCATGGTCTACATGGTTGGTGGCCAGAAGCATCCTGGCCCTACCCCTTCCCGTTTAGGCCCTGCTCCTTCTGGGGTGGCCCCTGGGCAAAAATTATTGCCCACCCCTACTCCAAGTGCTATCATCAGTTACCTCTGTCTTGCTCCCTTCCTGACCCATGGGTTGGGAGAACTGCTATTGTATCTCCCCCATCTCCTTCTGTAGAACCCTTGCTTTGTCTCCTTTCCCCAGCCGGACTGCTCTTGCTCCCATTCTCCCTCCAGCCTCCCCATCTCATATCCCCTTTTCCCTCCCTATGACCCCCCCAAGTTTCCTTCCATTGCACCCTTGCTCCCATCTGCCTCCCACCAACCTCCCTTCAGCACCTCCTGCATCCCCCTCCTGCCCCTATCTCACATATACCTTCTCTTCTCCCCACCCCATGCTGCAGCCCAGGCCCCAGAATCGCTGTGAGCAGTGACTGCAAGTCACTTCCTGCTGCAGAGCCTGAGCCCAGCCCTGGCTCCCAGAGCCCCTGCCCACTGCTGCTGGGTCCTAGTGAGCAATTCACTGCACTGCGGGCCTTCTCACCCTTGGGCTTTGGCAGCGTCCTCCACCTAAAGGCAGCATCATGCAGAGAATCCAAGGCAGTGGGGGGAGAAGAGAGTGTGGGGGTGCGGGCAGATGTTCTGGGCAGACTCAGCTCTGCTCCAGAGTCTCACCAAGCCCATCATCAAGGCATGGACATGGCCTGCCCATATGCTGCAGCCTGGCAGCCAGCAGTTCATGGCCCAGGACTGGTCCGTGGACCAGCAGCTGGGAACCACTGGACTGTATGATTAACCAATAGGCCTAGGTTTATTGGTTAACCTTGTGAACTACTTGCATTTCCCTCCTCTTCCCCCCCCCCCATGGCTGCCTCTGTATCAGAGGCAGCAAGGGGGAAGAGCACTGGCTCTGCAGTGCCACCTGCACCCCTCTCCGTGCTGCTGCCTCTAATAGAGCCGGCAGGGGAGGCTCCCATAGAGCAGCCTTCCATGCCTTTGTCCCTTCCCCCACAGCAGCCTCTGTCCACGGGAAGCTTGGACTCCCTCCACAGATTGGGTCTGCTGCCACCCCTGCACTGATGCCCATGTATCAGAGCGCAGGGGGAGCTGGTTTTTAAATTGACTCCCTTCACAGACCAGCTCCTGCCTGCCACTCTTCACTGCTGCCTCTGATAGAGAGGCGGCAGCAGCACCCGGGGGCAGGGGGCTCCCTGGGGGGGGGGCTGGCAGCACACTG